CACACACACATCAGGACACGCAGCCCGTGTCGCCTCCCTGCCTGCGCTAACTGCACAGGGTGGGCTGCAGGCACCGACCGCCCGGCAGCCGCGCCGAGGGTGGCAGAGCTGAAGGGGAGCCGGGGACAAGCCATCCATCCCAGCCCTGAGCCTAAACGAAGACACCCCTTGCCCCCCCACTGGGCCTGCGCACAGCCAGACCCTCCGCCACCTGCCCTCCCGCCGCTGGGGGAGGAACCCACCACCTCCGGAGAACAGAGGCAGGATAAGGGGCAGTGAGTGGCAGGAATGGAGGGACAGCCCAGAGCCCCCCAAACTCGGGATGCCATGGCAGGAGCGCAGGCAGGGCAGGCAGCCGAGCTGCCCCCACGGAGGCAGCGCCGCTGCCCCCTGTCCCCCAGCACAGAACTTGGACAAGCACAGGGTGGAGGGAAGGCAGGAGCATGCTGGCTGCTCCCAAACCCCGTGCGAGAGGACGGGACGTATGTCTCTGGAGGCAGCTCTTTGCCCCTCTGACACAGGGCGGCTTCACCCACCTGCAGAAGGGCCTGGGGAAAGCAGGCAAGGCTGGGGCAGACAGAAGGGACAGCGTGCAGAGGCGCTCGGTTTGCCCCTCGGGGGACTACAGGCTGCACGGGTGGGTGGTCACTGGGGACCCCTTTGCAGGGGAGGCCATATGTCTCCCTGCCTCTCTTGTGAGCTCCCAAATGTCTCATCAGCGAGCTGCAATGTATTTTCACACTTTCATCCTTCCTGGGGGCAGCCCTGGGCTCGTGTCCCTGCAGACGGCACACACAGGTGCAGCGGGTTAAAGACAGTGCCCAGCCAGGGCTGTCTGGGAGCCAGGGGCAGACGGGCAGCTCCTTCCCTTGGGCCACATCTGGTGCAGAGGGGACGTGCAAAGCCACCTGTGCTCCAGGCCTCTCCCTCCCGCTCCTTCTTGGCAGCCTCCCGGGCTTTCTACATCACAGCCCCTTGCATCTCTCCCGGCCTGAGCACATGAAAGTGGCAGAGCAAGACTGGGAAAGGTCAGCGGGAGGACCAGCTGCTGCCGGCTCAGCACTGAGCCTCTGTCTTTAATTAATATCTGCCGGGCTAGCTGCCCTCCCTACCCTCGACTGCTACTCCCAGTCTCCCCTTCCCTCCTCTATCATTACGCCCACGCCAGGAGAGGCAGGGAGGGAGGAGATGGGGAAAGCAGGGTCCTTGGAGTTCCTCAGAGCCTCCCCGGCCACCAGCACCACCACAGCAGCAGCTCCTCCCAGGTGCCGTCTGGTACCTCAGCAACCTAGCGAGCCCCTGGACGAGATGCCCAGACTGGCCATTACTTGCCCCTCCCTTGCACCAGGCCTTCCTGCTTTTGAGCCTCAAAACATACACCCAGGAAATCAAAAGTCCTCCTTCCAAACTAGCCAAGGACCAAGAGGGAACCACCTGACTGTGACTCCAGCCTTCCCTGGGAAGAACTGAGAGCAACCACCCAGAAGCTCCTGACACGTTCTACCTCTGTGGGATTCGGAGGATGCCGGGCTACAGGGTCCAAAGGATTGGCCTTGTCCCATCCTGCCCTTACCAACGAGGACTCCTGCAGTACGCAGCAGCTGGCTCCTGAGCCACCTCCAAGGTGCTGGGACTCCTCCAGAATGCCAGCCCCAAGCTCAGACCTTCACAAGACCCCTGTGGGCAAGGGCCTCGTTACACTTATGAATATGATTAATTAGGTCCAATTAGCTATACTGGAATTAATGATGTGACTCACAGTTAGCTGGAGATGTCTCGCTACAAACTGTTTCCCTGGTGGCTCACTCTAGTCCCAGACCAACCCCCAGCAGAGGCCCCAGAGGTCGAAGAGCACAGATGAGCTGGGATGAAGGAAACAAGTCTGGGGCTGCAAAATGCCTGTTTTGGGGGCTGCCCTCCGGTGTGCTGTTCCACACGGGTACAGAGCAGGGAGCTGGTGGCAGCCCCTGCATTGAAATCCACAGGCCTGGCATGCAGACTCATCCCATGTTCCTCCAGGAAGACAGAGGTCCAGCTGAGAGATGGAATAGTCAGTATTACTGCTGCAGAGATCGACTCCAGCCTTAAATCATCTTTTTGGCTTTCCCCAGGCTATCCTCGGTCCTGTCCACCCCTCAGCAGACTGCTGGCTGCAGCACCCTCATCTCCCCTCAGACACTGGCACAGATGCCAGCCCGCAGCCTCGCGAGTCCCTGCTGTGCCTCCATCTCCCTTGGGCTGCCTCACAAGGTCTCAATCCCGCTTCTGTTTGGACCGTACCACAAAGCCATCACTCAGGAAAGGGGAAAAAAAGCCAACCCAGGAGAGGCCCCAGCTCTGTGCCCAGTCCTCCAGCCAGGCAGGAAGGAACAGGCTCCCTCACCTTGCGCTCACTGCAGCCTGAGCAGGGCAGCTGCCGGCCGCGGTAAGAAGCCCATGCTGCCTCTGCCACCACTGCGGCTGCCTGGGCAGCTGGTGCCCTTGGGCAGAGGGACCTGGACAGAGCCAGGCTTGGCTTCTCTGCTCCTTTCAAATGACATCCCAGCCCCTTTCCTTTGCACTAACTTATTAACCATCACATCTCCAGCAGGCCAAGGCCGTATACCCACCACAGCCACAAGAAACTGGGAAGTGCAAAGACCATGCATGAAGCGACGCAGCCAGGCAGCCAGAGCCTCCTGCTCAGCAACCCCTCGTCAGAGCTGGGCCCTGGCCCCTCTCCATACACTGGGATTTTCCTGTGCTGCAGTCCTAAAGGCAAAACACAGCCTGCACCGGAGTAGTGGAGCAGAATTTAATCAAGCTGAGCCGTCCTCTTCCCAAAAGGAAATACGCTGCTGCAGCCACAGCGTGGCTGACACACCATCATCTAGCAAAGACAAACTCCTGACACAGTTCCAGGATCACAGAGACACCAAGGCTCAGGATCTGGGATGCTCTGCTATTCCTGCAACGTCAGATGTGCTCCTAATGCCTATAAGGGTGCAGGCACGACGTAGCCTTTCAAGCCTTCCTCCCTTCTCACCACTCCTGCACGCTCCAAGCACCAGCCTCGTCCTCCCACCACCTCAGACGCTCGCCACGGCCCAGGGAAAGTCATCCCAGGTCCGCTGTGTCGCACACCAAGTCCTGCTGGGATGCTGGCACGGGCGATGAGCTTAACTCCTACTACAGCAGCCTGGCCCCGGGCGGCCTCTGCTCTGCGCTTAGCTGTGCTTGGGCTGCTCCACGCATGGGTCCCCGCACAGACGTTTGCTTTGCTGTCTCTGGCCTCGGTACAGCGATGCTGTCCAGACGACCAGCAAACCCAGAAAAGGCTGAGTGAGGTTCACTGGCGCCGGAGCAAAGAGGAGCTCCTGCCCCGCCGCCTGGTAGAGCCCGGCGAGCTGGTGCCCGTCAGGCAGCCCGCGGGGACGGGCAACTGCCAGCAGGACAGGCCACCCAGCCTGCTGCCAGCACCGCCCGCGGGGTGACAAGGGTTAAACCGTTTACCGCGGCCACCAGCGTGATAAATGCAGCCCTGGGCATAAACCGGCACCTCCCACCGCCGCCCGCGGCTGGGG